CGCTGTGAGTTTAAATCGACATTTTGATAACTGACTTCGCTATGTACTTGTATGTGATGCTAGTACTTGATGGGTCGAAGCGTTGATTCTTTATTTTTATTAGCCGTTCGGGGCAGAGTTCAAACTTACAGTCGTATACTATCTAGTCGAAAACACAATTAGTAATCATAGCAAACATTTTTTAAATGACAGAAGTCTTCGTCTGTTAATACATTTTTCTAAAAGCCACAAAGGTACTTCATTCTGGCAGAAGCAAACGAGCTATATAAATGGTTTCGGTAACAAAACTTCAGATCTCAACGGTCCGGCAATTAAGTTTGTATCAATATGCTCTCAATCAAAACTCTCCTGTTCCAGATAACCGATTTAGCCCTGAATATATAAACCGTTCCTCAATATTAAGATGGAATATTTGACGAATAGACACAATCAAAGCAATAGGAAAGTCTAACCGGCTCTGACCTATAAGGGAAATATCTCTCTATCAAAAGCATCTACATGATCCGGACTTGCAATGTCAACTTAGTCTAGAGGGATTTAGAGTGATGATTGATATTTAATGGCAGTCTAACTGTTCCAACATTCTTTCCGCTATACAGTCTGTGATGATAGGCTTGAAAGCTATTAGGAACTGCCATAGAAAAAAAAACTAAAGCTTGTTTCCTATATATCCAGTAATAACTGAAGAGATTCTAGGCGCATTAACGTATTAGGGCAAACAGTAGCATTCTATCCACGTTGTTTCGGCTTATAGCGATTCTCTTCTCGACACATATCCACGCTTAGGGTTCCTTACCAAAGGCTTATTCGTTGACATATGTAGCTTTAATTACTTTTTTGTCGACTTTAAATGTGACAAATGGCACATAATCTTCTAAATGCGGTATATGCATACAATGATAAATGTATGTAGTATGTATGTTAGAAATTTGGCAGCCTTCCAGAGTTTTATCTTTTTTTATAAATATATTTATATGCAAACACATTACATACATATCTACATATGTATATGCGAGTGCAAGTCACATGTACTCATGCCAAATAATCCATGAGTGTCCATAAATATGTTTAGTAATATTCATTTGCCTAGGAAAAAAATCTGAAATGGTTTTTTGTTACATTTTCATATGCAGATAAAAAAGTATTTATAATTCGCTTTTTGTAACTTTTGTTTTGCTGCCAAAAGTAGTGATAAGACTTTTTTTTTGGGATTATGGTAAATTTTGGTTCGTTTATGTGCCTGTTTCTTTTTCTTGCCATTTGATTTCTACACACTTATCACTTTGTGCATATAAACAAAATAAATAGCAATATTAATCTTAGTTTTTTCACACTTCCGCAAGTCCTACACATCCAGATAAATTAATATATTCACATGTAGATATATACTATATATGTACATATACCTATATAGGCGTTAGGTCCGTGGGAAAACGCGGAGGTCGTAAAATGCCGATTAAACTAAAGTTCTCTGTAAATAGAATAGTCGTAGACAGCTGATCACGAGAAAAACTCGCGACATATGAGCGGTTAGCTGAATGTGTAATTGAAGAATAATGCATTGCATTCAAGGTTGTCAGTAATTTAAAGCTGAGCTGTTATTTAGATAGCTCAGAAAGCGTTTCAGTGTATTTCACTGCCTTAACACTTATGGCATATGTGTGTCGCTTACATTTAATTATTTATATTTTTATTTTACTAAATTTAATATATCTATGTAAATGCATTATTTTTTAAAATAAAACTGAGTACTCCTATATCACATCGCGTAATCTTAAAGGCGTGTTCGATTCGCCACTTCCCTGTTTGTTATGTTCTGTTCGTTAAGCTGAATTTTGAATAAGAAAGTAGGTGGATATGCTATTATAGTTGTATAATTCATTTCTATTCTATCTCTATATTATTACATCAGCCTATTTGATTTATGAGAGTTGTTCGTTTGGTTCGCCATTTCCCACTGGTTGGTAAATTGAAACAAGCTTAATAGAATGTTAAAATATAGTATTTAATACTTAATACATATTACTATAGTAGGCAATCATCTATTATTATAATCTTTATTAAGTTGAAAATATTGAATAAAAGAAAAGTACCACAAAGGGCCTCGGCATTGTAAGCTTCTTATGAAAGCTTCTTCAACCGGTCAGAGGTGGTTTACAGCTTGCAGCAGCTTACATAGTCATTTAGCAAAGGATTCAGAACCTAATAAGTTTAACAAAAATGTGTTTCGTATAACTTAAGGACCAAAAAACAAATTTTTTATATTCAATGAATACATATTTTTAGATTTAAGCCAGAAAATCCTCTTTACAAGTTATTACCATTAGGTATTAGGTATATACTTCTACATATATGTATAAATGAACTTATATATCGACTTACCGAGAGGTTATATGCATATACAATAAAGGCACGTACATATGTATTTAAGTAATAAAAACCTATGTGTTGTGTACTCGAAAAATCACTTCTTCTTTCTGCATTCTTTTCTATTGTTGTTGCTATATTTAGTGTGATTTTGCGCGCGCAATGAGAATCCTGTTTCTTCTTTCGTGTTTAACTTCTTTCTTTATATATGTGTGTATATGTATATTTATATGTGTTTACACTGACTTTTTGTTGCACCAAGCAAATACATAACTACTCAACGGACTCAGTGGAATTTTTGGTGTCTTTTATCTTTCTGACCCTGCTTCACTTTACTACGAATGCATTTGAGTTGAGACATAAAAAATATATAAATGAAAATAATAGAAAAGAGTTATGTAATGAAAATTTATAAAATAAAAATAAAACAAGAAAAACCTTAACTTCGGTTGCACTGAAGCTATAAAACCCTCCACAGCTGCATTTCTTATAACACAAAAGACGTCAAAAGGATATAAAAAATCGTTAACCTGATTTTGATCGGTCAGTTTAAATGGTCCGATCTGAATAATATATATTCGGAGGTCTTAGCGTTGCCTTATAAAATAATCTATGCCAAATTTCGTGAATAGATCATGTTAAATAAAACAGTTTCCGACAAACGAGCAGCTTTTTGAGGAGAAAAAGACGTGCGCCAAATTTCAGATCGATATCCCAAAATCCGGCTTCGTTTAAAACTAATTTTTGGTTCATTCAAATAAATCATTTTTTATAACATATGGCTTTTCTAAGTCATCCCATACATATACATATTTATATACTATAGACTAATGCAAATAAGCGCGACATTAATCGTAAGCTCTTTTATAATCTCTAAAGAATTCTGTGGATTCTGCTCAAATCCGAAGTATATTATATGTATGTAGATCTTTTTGTACATATCTTTGTATATGCAAAAAATTCGAAGACATCTGGTTTCAAATTTGACACAAATTTTTGCGTTAGCAATCTAGGAAGCATACTTCATACATAAGCAATTTTTACATACATACATATGTATCATATAAAGATATTCATGTGTGTACATAACCTCGTTAACGACCAATAACCCTAGCATAAAAACGCCTATCACATATCAACACTGCTGTTGGATTCAAGAGCATAAAAGATGACGCAGAATTTTGCAAAGCCAGACTCAAATAACTTAAAATTTATATATGTAAAGTTACACCCAACAAACCATACCAGATTTGCTCTAATTATATCGAGAAAGAGCACCAAAAATTATTTTCGAAAAATTTTCGAATTTTGTGTTTGAACTTATGTTACGTCCAAACAAATGATCTCTAAGCACTGGAACCTCTTCGGCGAACAATCTTACTCGTGGAGAATACTTAATTTTTTTCTTTTTTTTAGTTAATTCAAGTCCGTTTTTTATATACAATATAAAATGTATATCAAAACGCTTTTCGTTTGTTGGGTTAGGCGCGTAATCAATCGCTCGTAGTTGTCCTATGCGTGCGCGCTTATTGCTCGCACAATTTTTGCACAAATGTGAGTTTATCTACCCAGCTCATATCGATAAATTTTGGCTTTGGCTCTTTTCCACAAATTTTTTTTTTTTTTTTGGTCTTTAATAAATTAGCAATTAAAATAAATTGTGTTGTCAACAAAATAATAGTGTGCACGCAACACCGCCGCCCATATCTATACATACAAATATACTCGTGTCTGTGTTTTTTTTTGTACGCATGTACTTTTAGGCCTCTGTGCCATTAATTGCTAATCGCTTAAGCATCAAAAGCTTTACTGAAATTAAAACGGTTGAAAAGTGTACACATATATACATTTATTAATTGGCATTTGGTAAATGCCTTGAAATTTACGCATGCGCGTTTGGCATACATAAAAAAAAAGTTGCGAGTTTTGTAAATTGTTTTCTGGGTACAACAAGTGTATGTGTAAAATATGGGAAAGATTTTAGATGTACACAAAAATTAGAATATATTTATATACATCTCTCGACACATATACAGATAATCTGTATATACAGGTCACATACCTGTGTAAATATAATTTGTATACCCTGAACAGGGTATATTAAGGCTGAAACGAAGTTTGCAATATATACATAAATGTAAATGATAAGCATGCCAAGATAAGTCGACTTTGTCCGTTCGTCTGTCTGTATATGTACATATACATATGTATGTGAACTAGTCCATCAGTTTTTGAGATATCGATCTGAAATTTTGCTCACGTCCTTTTCTCCCCAAAAACCTACTCATTTGTCGGAACGACCGATATCGGATGACTATAGCATATAGCTACCATACAAACTGAACGATCATATGACCAAATATCTTCAAGAAATTTGGCATGGATTACTGCCTCGGGTTATGGTGCAGTCTTTGTATTATTATAACATATAGCTGGCGTATAAACTGAATGATCAGAATCAAGCGCTTATATGGAAAACTTTTTCATTTAACGAGATATATATCTTTAACAAATTTGTCGTGGGTAATTGTTCAAAGCAACAAAGAAATTGTTCAAAGCAAATAAGAAATATTTTTTTATTTGTGAAGGGTACTATTCTAGCTTCTAGATGCAATCGAAGTTAACGATTTTTTGTTTTTTTTTTAATAAATGACGAAACTTTGTTTTTTTATTTATTTTTCGATATTAGTATCGAAGACCAATAGCAAACATTTCAGCTAGTACCAAAAATTATGTATATACATATAAATTATTTATACATAACTAATAGTCAAAAACACAAAAAGCAAAAAAATCAAAAAAATACATTTATCGGCTGGGACACCCAGCATTCGGTGTAATTTCAGCTTCTTAGGCTCAAACATCAACGCATTATTGTATATTTACACGAATATGTTATACTTGTAGTGTGTGAATTTTGATGCTGATTTATTTATAGAGTATATCCTTCTGTTGCATTTCTGCTTAAAGTAATTAGAGCGTCACTTGGAGACTCAAATATACAATATTAGTAATATATAAATAAGTGTGTACCCATCTAGATACAAATGTAAGCTTCGCCGTACGTTCTAGCCCCAACACTAACATGCAACAATGTTTACACAAATTTTCTGCGCTATTTCTGCGCTTCGTTGCCATTGAGCGCCACGTCTCCAGCCACTAATTGCCTCCCAGCATTTTCTCCAGAGCTGATCTTCATTTAAATAAATACCATATAACTTGTATATATGTAGGTACATACGATTTCCAAATATATGTATATAAATATATATGTGTGTGTGTAAAGTTCTGCCTGCTGTGAATTTTTCTAAATCAAACATTCTATGGCATTCTTTGCCTTCGTCTTGTGCCTCGTGTCTCAAGTAACGTTCAGCAATTTTGCAGCCCACTCTCATACAAACACAAAACAAGAACAATACTGAATTCATGAGTATATATGCACACATATGTGTTATGGTATGTATACTAAGCACGACATCCTCTGACTGCCATTGATGTCAACCTCGGTTGCGTAAAGTTGCAAACATCGTCGCCGTTGCTGTGATCTTCACGTGACTCGTCCCACTGCTGCTCTACCGCTCTTCTTCCTGTGGAAGACTTTCGTTAGACGTTTGCCGCTCATTTAACGATTTGCTTGCGCAGCAGAGAATGCTACATGGTTGTATGCACATATATACTTGTAAGTTTGAACGTGCCTTTCAGCAGGTCTTAGTTTCCCTTCGGCATTCCTCATTGCTGTTGTTGCAAAAGCCGAGCATATCATTTTGTTATCTGCTTGTGATTAAAGCTTCTTTTGGAAGCGTGTCGCCGCGCATTCAAGTCTCTCATTACCTGCGCGCAAAGGAAATAGATGGCAGCATATAATAGATATATAGTATGTAAGACTGTCTGTATTCTATTCATTTACTTTTACTGTCCCAAAAGTGTTTAAATATACTACAGACAGACCCCCAGCATCCCTAAAATGCACTCCTGAAAGCATGTGATCGGTGGCAGCGGAAGCCCTACCTGCGCCAAGCGCGATCTGCATATTCATACACATACACATGCATACTCGTATGCATACATACCCACAAGTATGCGAGATTTCAATGCGTCCATTAATTACCGGAAAGTTGTTATTTGTGGCGCCCTTTATTTGTGTGTTGCAACAACACATTACCGCGCACAGCGGCTCCAATAACTTCAACAGCTCAACGGCCCTCCAACGTCACACTCAGCCGCCCTCTGCGCGTATTATTGGCGCTCTCAACAGCTGTGGAGAGTTGTTTGAGAGCTTTGCTCCAATATTGAGTTGAAATAAAGATGTGATAGCTCCACTAGTGAGTGTTTTTAAGCTCCAATGAGTTGAACTCTTGAGTTCATATACATTTTACATTCGGCTTTTCGACGACAAATTTCGCTCGTGCAATTGGCGAATCAGTGCGAGCGGTGTTTGTTTTATTTGCCGGTTGCAATTGTGTTTTTTTGGTTGTTGATCTTTTCGTTGGCGCTGCTTGGCAGTATAAAAGCTTGCGCGCCAAAAAGTGTTTACCATTGCGGCTTCGACCGCTTGGGCGGTCGTTGTTGCCGTTAAAATGGCCGGCCTGCGATAGGAGGCAGTGTGTGGCGCTGAGTTAGCAGCAATAGCGACGACTATGTTGGAACGAGATGTCCCATGAAGGCTGCTCGGTATGTGCATGTATGTTCACGTGTCGTATGTCGATAAACAATTTTTTGCCTTACAAAGTGAAGTTCTTAGAATTCTTTGCAAATTATATGCAGAAATTGCATTTGTGCATTTATAAATTTACATATGTATGCAGTATGTACATATGTATGTATATAATACAAAATAGTATTTTTCGATTAAGTTAAGCGTTTACGAGATATCCGTCGTCAAAAATCAACGGAAATGAATAAATAAAGAAATAAGAGTCAATTTAAATAGAGCACTAAATTTAGAATGTTTTATTTTTTTATTCTTAGGACCAAGCGAAAAAAAATAGTCGATTTTTTTACCCACCCTAATATACATATGCATATATATTTAAACCAAATTGTTTTTATATTTAACTAAATATATGGTACATACGCACATACATATGTTTGTATGTGATAAGAATAAAATTCCAAATTTTAACTTCATAAAAATTAACAAATTTAATATTATTTGTAACATAAAGAATGAAATTTTAAAGAAATGCTTTAATAAAAACACCGTATTTTCTAGATTTGGCCACCAGCGACTATTTCCCATACACGTCTCACATAAAGTGACTCACTGAAAAAACAATTCAATCAAATGTGGAGGTCAAGATAGAAGCAAACGGCTATTGGAAACAACTCGAACTTTCACACTATTGAACTGATATCGAAATTTTAAAGGACCGTTAGAACAAAAGTCACTCTAGATAGAGATTACCATATGTCGAAGAATGAATACAAAAAACCGGGAAACAATGCAACCAAATACTTTTCAGTCCATGTTGTACATGTTTTTAAGAACAAGGCCATGTGTATGTACCTAAGACTTTGAACGCCAGGTTTAAATTCATCAACATCAATGTGGGAGTAAAATGTAATGGGGAAGAGTCAACCGGTACAGCAAAGTCGACGTGAAAAAGGGATGTAAAATAAAAATTGCACATAGAACAACCATAATTTCAAATATGTAAGTCTAAAGAAAAATAACTGGACTTGGTTGTGATAATTTAAGCATTTATATACACGTGTGAATTTCAAAAAATCGATTTTTGTTTTTGCATATACTTGTACAATATCAAATGTACATACCTACATATTTTCAGAGCTATGAGTGTAATTATTGAAAAAATGTTACTCAGTGTAATCGGCTCCCAAACTTTAAACGCTTTATTTTCGAAATTCTGTTTTCAGACTCGATGAGGAAAATTTCTCCGAATCTACCGATCAACTTGAAATTTTCACGCCACCTTCTTACATATATTTGTCAGATATAGTTGGAATGAATAAAATTTTGAAACAAAAATAAATTTTTATGGCATTCTAAAGTGTAACTTTTTTTTGGAAGCCGCCATTTTGTCAAAAATCTAAATTTTGACTAGTCCTTCCATCACTAACTCTAATCATTTATTGTAATAATAAATGTTTTTGGTTCTTGGATTAAAGATAATTTTAAACAGAAAAATCTTCTCCACCGTCAGACACCTTTTGTCGAAAGTGCTCAAGGAGATCGGCTACGGAAACAAATGAATCCAAGATTATCCAAAATAAATCCCGATTATTAAAGTGAATTAAACGCTGTAAATGTATTTTTACTTATACGAGTATATTATATCTTCACAAACTAAATATATAAAACAATGCATTAATTAACTAACGGTTCTTGCAACGCATGATTTAGAACCTTTTATTGAAATGTTGTTTCTCTAACGAATAATACAATTATTTATTTATCTATAAAAAATTGGTTTAAAGCATGAATCACGAACAAATTTATATTCTCGAATGAAACTGTAAACATACATACATTTCAACCTTTATGCGTATATCGCAATGTCCTTTTTTCTAATTATGCATTATTATACTTGACCATCAAAATCGAATAAATTTCAAATATTAATTACAACAGCTATTAAATTTTGAGCCTAGCATGAATTTCAAAATATTCAAATGTTTTTGTTAAACGAGTTTTAAAAATTGCTTTTGTAATTTATCATTTAGCCAATATTTTCTTCATTTCACTTTAGATAATTAGAAATAAAGAAATTATAACGATTTCATTAATGTAAATCCAAAAATCACCAAAAGAAAGTATATTTAATAAATTAATTTTCTTGAATATTCTTAAAACAAGAAAAACCCGGTAACTTCGGCTGCACTAAAGCAATAATACCCTACACAGGCTCATTGCTAATAGCTTAAAAGGGTATAAGATAATCTTTAGCTTCATTTTGATCGTTCAGTTATGGCATGTAAATATGTATGGCAGCTATATGCTATAGTAGTTCGATCTGAACTATTTCCTCAGATATTGTAAAGTTGTCTTAAGCAACAATCTAGGCTAAATTTCGAGAAGCTATCTCCTCAAATAAAAAGTTTTTCCCCAATGGAGTTGATTTTGAGTGATCTGATTTCGGCGATTCCTTTAAATGGGCAGAAAAGAACGTGTACAAAGATACAGATTGATATCTCAACAACTGAGGGACTAGTGCGGAAGGGCAGAAAGACTTGGCTACATCGCATCAGCTCGTTACGCTGATCATTTATATATATCTATACTTTATTGGGTACGTTGGAGACCCTTCCTTCCTTCTAGGCGTTACAACGCTCTTTGCGAACTTAATAATCCCCTGTTCAGAGCATGACAATTTAGTTGAAACAATCAGAAGCAAAGAAAATATTATTCAATACAAAAATATATATCAAATATTATAATTTTTATTGTTGTTATTGCATTTCAATTAACCCTAAACATATCATGCCATTAAATTGCGTTATTTGTATTTATAATAATTGTCATAATAGCTTTATGAATCGCTTTTATAATTTTTTCTCATAATTCAAAGCATTCTGCCATATGTACATACAGACATACATATGTCTAAAAGCGCCAAAAATACTTTTGAATTCGAATTTTAGTACTTTGCGCACTATAAATGTATCGATATCTACATATTTACATATATACATACATATGTAGTATAAGTATATGCCCTTGAATTTGTTTTTGACACATTTCAGTAGAAGGTCAGTAGTAATCAAATCTCTGCATTCGCGCGACTTACTTTTTTGTTACTGTTACATACGGACGTATGCGTTACGGATTTCAATTATCATTTATGCATACGTACATACATACATACATACATATGTATGTGTTTATGTGTTACGATTTCCGCTAATCACTGATAATTTGCAATATATATCTACATATATAGGTATACAATTACATATTAATATTTGTGTACATATGTATGTTTGTACATCCATACATATGTATATCTTTAATATGAAATTCTACGAATTAAATCCTTTAGCTGTATAAAAACATGCCAAAGATTCATAAATTCACAACGATGCAATGCACATAACCGCACATATGTATATACATACCTATGTACATGCATACACAAGTGCATGTGTACACAAAGGCATCGATGTTGGCGGCCAGCAATAAAGTGATTTTCAGCGTGTTGATTTTTGTTGTTTTCGTCATTATTAACATCCTTGTTTCGTATGTCCATGTTGTAGTTGGAGCTATTTCTGTTAATGTTGTACATACACAAATACGCGCATACTATAAATACGAACACATAGCTGCATTAGTATTGTCAGAGTACCTGTTGACTACTGCATCCACATTTTGGATACACATGCATACACACAGCCAGGCAGGTACGACAGTGCGTATGTATGAATGTAGGCGCTGCTAGAGCCAAGTGCAGCAGAATTTACAACTGACCCCACCTAAATCCACAAACAAGCAGTGATTTCAGGAATACTGTGGAAAACAAAGACGAAAGAGAATCAAATTCTTGTGGACATGAAGGCATCAAGATACCCGAGTTATCCTCATCCATACACATACACACACAAAAATGTATCTGGTTGAACAAATCACAAATCAGCTGAATGGCTCAAACAACAACGCCAACAACAACAGATTGTAGGGAAACGTTTGTAACGTACTTTTTATCAGCAACAAAAAAGAAAGCTAAGCAAGATTGTGGAATCCCAAAATTCTCATACTCTCATATACTTGCTCTCTTGCATGCAATCTCTATCGTGCTCAGAGTCAATCTCACGATTATATAGCATTTTTATGGGACTACTTCCCCGCCGACAATATGTATGTGCACACATACGTGCCAAGTGAAGACAAATCTCCTGCAAACAAAAAAAAAGTAAGGGAAAATATTGTTCGGCTTATTACTCGTGCATGGCTTCTTTAGAGAGCAAACCAGCAGAAAATGTAAAGTTAAAAGACACACAAAAATGGAGTGATTACAAGAAGTAATTACGATTGCCATATCAAATTATTATTTTTCAAAAATGTTGTTCAAAAAGCACCAAAAAAAGTGCTTCAAGACTTTATGTGAAAATAAAAATTATTATAATAAATGCCCCACCTATATCCACTATGTTTATCAAATTATATTGAAGCTTATATCCTTATAAAATCATGTCTCAATATCTTGATATTTTGATATCTAACATATTAGGGGGTTTCACCACTTTTAAAAAAGTCTCGAGATTCGTGTTCGAGAAAAATTATGTAATTAAGAAAATCAATTTTAATTGCTTAGTGTTTCAACATGTCTGAACATACTAGAAACTTGCTACCTAGCATATAATATTACAGAATATTTGTATATATTAAAACATTGAGATTTGGCCTTCAGATGTTTTTATAATTTTTTTTTTAAATAAACAACATTTATAAAATTCTATGTAGGGCTGAAAATGTTTCGAACTACTTGTATGCTTATGGTTGAAGGTTTCTACTGTTTTCTTAGATTTGCCTAAAACCAAATGACTAAGTCAAGTCTAGTTTTCGGCCAAAACCAAAATTCAATAAACAGGCCTAGTTTACAAACAATCCCCACACAATACCATATACTAAAGTAAGAATATAGGTTTCACTATAATAATAAAGCTCATCCAAGATTTTGTCCGGCGTTCATACACATCCTTAAACTTATGCAAACACATATTTACTCGAATTATATGAACTCGCTGAAAACATATGAGAAGGAAGTATCTAGCTCCAGCTAAGGTGTTATTCAAACAGTTTGATAAATGAACTGGAATTAGCAAGAAGGATTAACTAAGTGAATATATTATTATATACACATAAGATATATCTTATGTGAGGATATACCTATATACAAAGATTATAAAGTCGGCCTTATTTGTGTGGTATTTTCAAATTATCAGCTTTGGTAACCCTCCAAAACTGCAGAATCGTGATTTACTTTGATATTGTTGTTGTTTGATTATTTGTTGGTCATTTCGTTGCGGAGAGCGCGCACTTTGTTGTTATTGCCTTTGTCGACTGGCCCATATGATCAACAACTGATTGCAGTGCCGTCCGTCAATATTGCTGTTGTTGCGATCGTCAACGTTGACATCGTTTTTGAGTGCTGCTGCTGCTGCCATTTACTCTCGTTTGTTGTTATCAACGTTAAGAGCAAAAAGGTAGAATATGTAAACAGAGATGGTAGGCAAGAAAGAGATCACAGCTGGGTTGGGCAGCGCTGGCAGTGGCAGCAGCATGAAAACGAGAAAAAATTTAAAAATCACTGCTCAGCTGATGACTTGCAAGGATTGAGTGGAAGGAGAGTAAATGAAATGTACGAAGATGTGTTAAGGGAAAACAACAAATAAGTAATTAACATTGCAAACAACAACAAGGAAAATGTTTTGTTGTTGCCGGTTAGGCGAACAGCTGTAGAACAGTGCCGGCGAGTTTGTGCATACACACACACATCAATGTATGGATGAATGTTAATGATAAAGCCCACAACGACCGATGAAGTGCCAAATTTCTGCCGAAGTCGTCGGCAACAACAAATTAATTATTAGGCAGCCATTTGAGTAAATCCCAGGAATTGTTGAAAAAAGCTGGTGAACCGGCGAAAGCGAATTGAAGTCTTACCTGGCAACGTGGTGACCATTATTATCATTGGTCTTTATACGATTAATTCAACTTGACACGTTTCAATATTCAAAATCTGGAATTCACATTCTATTTCATTTAAACACAAAAAAATTAAACTGATATTGTTATTATACTTGTTATGCGGTCTTTTGAGATAATTATTACTTTTTATGCAGTTAAAATTTGTAAGGGAAAACAGTGCATCCTTCTTACACTACATCTGCTGCCCCGACAGACAACCTAATCGACCGATCAGCTGACCAGGCCCACTCAGGGCACAGAAGGCATCTTGACGAAAACAGCCTACTCCTTGGGAGCAGCTAGAGTGAGAAAAGTACTGGTATGTACATAAGTTAAAAAGTGCATTCATGCAATCCAACAAAAGGAACGTCAGCCACAAGAAGATATCTGTCTGTGTTGGCGCCATATGCTTCCACAAGAAATCAAAGCATCCTTTTGCGCCTCTCGCGCAATTTTCTTCACTTTCCTCCGAGTCGTTTGCCATTTCCACTTGTTCGCACCTTTTCGGTAGTGCTTCGCTCTGTTGATTGTCGATGCTGTTGCACTCGTTCATCTGTGCAGAGTTTGAGTAATTGAGCGGCGCTCTCCTCTTGCGCTAACTAACTTTGAGTTGACCACACTAGAGTTGTTCTTGCAACGGGGTAGTTCTTTGTTTTCTCACTCTGGCCTTTGGGCCAATCTCATGGTATTGTTGTTGCAGTGGTAGCAGTGCTGCAGTTTTTTATGTAGTGTGCGCGCAGCGTTTTTGAGTGTTTAATGCAAAATAGAGCGCGCGTAAAATTTTGTATAAAAGTCGGTGGTTTGACAATGAGTGAATTAGTTCGAGTTTTTGCTTAGTGCTACGTGTACTGTGTCGTAGCATCGCATAGTGCGCTTGGCCTCTTCACTGAAAAATTTATTAAGATTGATTTTTGTGGTGTTTAAATATACTATTTTCAATATCCAATGCAAGTTTTTTATTTGAAACATATCAACTATAAACAAATACGACGATTTGGGACTAGAAGCAATATTGGATTACATACTAAACAAAAAATGTTGCCAAGTATATGTGGATTATAACAATAAGTACTTAAAAAACTCTACAAATGAAATCAATTGATAGTGACGGACATTTTTCCACAAAAATCTATTAAATTGTGTATTAAAAGTGCAAAGAGTACATACAAAGCCCGTTGGCCGGTAAAAAAGACTGCAATAAATAGCAAAACGCAATAGTAAAATAAAACAAGTGAAACACTCACACACACAAAAATGCAGCGAATTTTTTAAAAAATTCAAGTGCAAATAACCAAAATCAAACGGAAAAGCAGTAACACGTGAAAAAGTTGAAACAAACGAAGTGCTGCTGCCAGATAAAATATACGAAAAATTGTGCTACAACAATTTTCGCGACTATCATATAAAATAAATTAACGCCCGACATTTCCCTGTCGCAAAATTGTAAAATCCAAATCTTAAGCATAATATTTAAGAAAACTACAAAATGATGTGGGACACAATTGCCGAAGAAACCAACGGAGATATGGCTATGGAATTTGCAAGGTAAATATCACATTGAAATGCATTATAAAAATTCATCATCAGTCATGTGAATATGCAGCTTGTAAAGTGTCAGGCATTGTGTTTATCAAGTTATTTCAAAACCAAATTGCAAAGCTTGCCATGAACCCGGATACGGATATAACTTAAACGAACTAAAAATATAAAAAAGTGCAAAGTAAATAGTGCAATTCTTAATTTGTAGAAATAATAATAATTCAGTGCCTTCTACAACGCTTCTTGTGCAGTTACAGTTTATAAGCAAACCTACATTACCCAAATCTAAAAAAATATTCCACGCCACTGTTTTTTCGATGAGCTCTAGCACTCCATTGCTGTTGCTCACTCTCACTCTGCGACGCAAGCCCCAACTCGCTAACAACACCAACAAGCAGACAATGCTGAACTTGAACTCCATTTCAACGGTTCCAACATTTTCTAGATTTTTTTTCTTGTTGTTACAACGTGTTTACATTTTCCGTGCGCTGCAATAACCAACGTTCGTGACTGTGCTGTGGCGTTTTGCCGGCCAATCAGTTTTGTATGCGGTCATTCTCCCCATTAATAAGCTAAAGAAAAGTGAGAGTTTTTTTTGTATGTGCGTTGCTGTTGATTTTATATCATTTTTTTAACTGTTGCTTTTCATATACAAGACTCGTAAGTAATAGTATTTTCTTTATTTCTTCTTTCGCTTTTGTTTGGCTTTAAGCTGGCACGTAAAAATCGCACCGTCGCGTCCGTCATTTCCGTCTTAAACGGGAGCTTACAATTATATGGAGCGCTGTGATTTGGGGCATGACCACAGCCTCAAGTATGTATATATATAAATATGTATGTATATATGTACGTATGAATTTACGTGCACCAAAGCATCTCGGTAGGTGTTTTCGCCTTCACTTGGCAGCGCGTTGCGGTACGTTGGCGTCTTGCGGTTTTCTGCTTTTGTTTGCTTTCCTATTTCCGACTTTTATGCCTTGTGCACCTACTTTCCGCTTGACTGCGTCTTTCTTGCATTCACAACTTCCTTATTAAGCTAACGACCTGGCCTAATAATAATATTTCCGGCGTTCGTGCATTTTCTTGCATGCAGTTTTATTTATTTCATATACATTTAATTTTTTTACTTCACATGCATATATATTTACATATATGTATGTTTTGAGCTCAGTGCTGCACAATTTAAAACCGTGGGGGAATGGCAGCAAGTTTTATTTTCTTTCTGTTCCTTCTGTTTAGGTCGTGCACGCAGCGTGACTTTATAGTTTTCGTACTCAACTTGTTTGAAATTCTTAGGGAATTACTTGCATTTCGGTGCACGCCGCATTCGACCACCGCCTGACGTAATTGTGTTACCATGTTTGATGTGTACGCTTAGTTGCTTACTTCCTTATTTCCGCGTTCTTGCGAGTCAGCCTTTTAGTCCGTGTAGTAAGTCAAACACTCAACTAGTAATACTATCGTGCATATAGTATTTTTTTCCTTATTTTCTTAACTGTTATGTCAATGGCCAAGTCAGCGACCAGCCAGCCGGCGCTGCCGTAACATCTGCGGCTCTGTGCAATTCATAAGAGTCCAATTGTGCCTTCGCTGTCGACCTCTAATTCTTCCTTGTTAAGCATTGAATTCCATACGGAGCACACAGTCACATGTACACAGCCAAATGCATCGAAAACTTATTATTTTTTGTTGTTTATGTCTGTATGTATGTGTATATTTGTACTAGCATATTCGTCTTCCTCCACTTTGTCGATCGATATCAACCGAATGTGAATGTTGACTCGAGCTACGGGACTGATGTGCACTTCTAGTACAGTGAGGGTACAGTACCCCAGCAGCGTTGCTGTGTAACATGCGCTACTTGGGTTAATTGTTGTTGCTTGGAACAACCCTCACTTTGTAAGCATATGTATATGTATATATATATTATATATTTTGATCGCTTGTGGGTCGCATTTTCCTGTGCATGTACACCACCATCAACACTAGCACCAGCGCTCTAGCACTATCATCAGCAGCCGAGTTCCTCACTATCATCCTACTATTTAATAGCATAAATAAATACATTTACAACTGCGCTTGTGCTTGGTCTGTTCAAGTTGAATGAACCCATCACTTGCACATGCATACACACACACCAGCTCAGCCGCACACCTACTTTGTCCATCAGCTGCCTGTGTACGCCTGCGCCGTGCCAGCATGCTGGTGTTTGGTCGTCGTAGCGTCAATTCTTCCAATTTGATTCAGTTCTATTTTGTGTGTCCTTCGGTATTGTACGTTTCGAATTGTGCTTAAGCATGGCGCCTGCCCTGTGGCTTTTCAGCTACAGCTTCAAAAACACTGAGCCGCCCACTCTGGTCTTTACGTGGAATATTTACTTTGTGGTTTGCCTGTAAATACCTGCCGATTTGTTGCTGTTTATTTTTGTTTCACTACTTTTCCTATTATTTTGATTAATTTTTAACATAAATATATCGTTGAATATATTTTTAATATCGAATTTGTTCTTCTGTTTGCATTTTAGCTGTCAAATGCCACACGACTTGAATACAGTCGCAGTCGCTGCTAGCAGTAATGGAGCTACCCGTCAACGCCAGCCACGGAATATTTTGAGCAGCCCGATAAATGATATGGTAGTCGACCAACAACTGTCATTTTATGGGGATGACGAACATGCTGCTGAGTCAGATCAGCATTCGGCCGTTTTCGATATGCCACAACAGATGGGTTTACTGTCACCTGAGGGATCGCCATGTCGTTTCCAAATAGTACAAAAGCCTAGAGTACCGAAATATAGCCAAGAAGGCAGCAGTCACAACGGTGGTCAACAACGCCAGGCATTTGCAAACCGCCTACAGAAGCTACAACATAACAATGCTGCCAATGGCAGTGCTAGCACACCGACACCACCGAAGAGTCTGCGTATTTTCCACAGTTTGTCATCTGGTTCGATGGGATCTTCGTCGATGGAAGAAGATTACATGGATCTGTTTGAAATGGAATCACTTGAGAATTCAATGATGCCATCAAATAACATGCCGAAAATCCCCAGCGATTTAGACTCGTTGTTTGTCGGACAAATCAAGAATATATTATCACCTGCCCACCGTACAATCGAACAGCGACAATTGTTCGAACAATTGAGAACACCTGAGATGCGCCGTCCACCAGTGCGCCGCTGCCTAAGCATGACAGACAATTGTCTACCCAAGACACCGGAGACGCTGCTTAAACAAGTGCAAGAAATCGCTACCAGTCCATATGGCGTTAAGCTGTTAACAACGGAACGCAACCAAAGCACCATGAGCAGTTGTTTCAAACGTCCCGATCCACCATCGAAGACCAATTCGCCGGTACTTATCAAACGTTACCGCATTGAAGCCGAAAAGGAGAATCTCGATGACTCTCTGACAATGTCACTACCAGCACTGCCGGCGCCTCAACCCAAGCTCAGCCATCCACCAGCATTGCGCAAGAGTATGTCGATGAATGATGCCGAAATCATGTCGGCGCTCGCACGCTCGGAGAACAACGACGAGATAGATCTCATCGGCGATTTCAGCAAACCTTATGTACTGCCACTAATGGATGGTCGTCATCGCGATTTGAAATCAATATCCTGTGACACAATGGCACGTCTGATGCGCGGCGAATTCAATAATATTGTAGGCAACTATCGCATCATCGACTGTCGTTATCCATACGAATTCGAAGGTGGTCACATACGCGGCGCTCAAAATCTGTACACACACGAGCAGATACTCGAGGAGTTCCTCGCGCAACAAAAGACTGAAATGGCACAGCGTAAAGCAACCACTGATCATCGTCGCAATATCATTATATTCCATTGCGAATTCTCATCGGAACGTGGCCCGAAATTGTCGCGGTTCCTGCGCAGCACCGATCGTGAACGCAACACCAATAGCTATCCGTCACTTGACTACCCCGAGATCTACCTGCTACACAATGGTTACAAAGAATTCTACGAACATCATTCGGAGCTGTGTGACCCGATTGCCTACCGACCCATGTTGGAGCCAGCGTACAACAGCGCGTATCGTCACTTTCGCTCCAAAACAAAATCCTGGAACGGCGACAGCGGTTTGGGCGGTGCTACAGGGCGCCTAAAGAAATCTCGTTCACGGCTAATGCTGTAAGCAGCAACGGTGCAGCGGTACAGCAAATGAGTCAAATATCAATACGCTTGTTAAACCAATGCCGCAGCTTCAGCTAGTATGAAAAAAAACCAAAATTTTCTTACAGTAGCTGGGCGGCAGACGGGCGCAAATGCGGTCGACGTTACATAACGTCGCTAAATCGTCAGCAACAACTAATAAGACTGCGAATTTGACAAGGAGTGCGGTTGGAGGGAGAACAAATTCACGATTGCAGTACAAATTCAAAAGCTCAGCTTTAACTAACGTTAAACTTATATTTGAAAACAAAAAGAAAAACAAAACAAAACACCCAAAACAATTTTAACACCAACTCTTTGTAGTTGGGCTCCCAACGGTAACTCCCAATAGAGTTTCGGGGCGGCCACTTACACACTCGCACTCGTATTACATAACCACACATGTACATATACACATGCAATTAGCAAAACCACATTTTTAACGCACAAACACACCACACAGACACAAGTCATTCATTCATCAAATTTACATTCAATTTGTTTTTGTTGAATTTTTTATTCGATGTTTTATGTCCAATTTGGATTTTATTTTATAGAAACGTTTTATGTGTATGTAAGTACTATAAAAAAACAATAACAAAGCAAATCATAATTTGCAAGCTCCTTTGTGCATAGACTGCATGCGAGTGCTTATGCATGTGTGTGGGCGTGTGTATGTATGCGCGTACACTATTGTACATTTATACATATGTAAGTGTAAGAAAGGACACTTTCATGGCTACTAAGTCACTGGGGATCGAGTCAATGCCATGTACAGCTGTGTGAGCGCCTGTGTTAGCGCCTCCATGTAAATAATGTGTATGTATGTATTTATGTATGAGTTAAGCATAACGCAACGTTTGTAAAAAATGCTTAAAATATTTAATTTATTTGCTATGAATAGCTTTAGTTAGCTTAATTTAATTTGCTTAGTTGATATATGTATGTTAAGAGGCGCTGCCAAACACAGCGCGCGCACGCGCACACACAAACGTACGCATAGCTCACCCATTGTAAATTATAATTATAAATTTTTGTATGCACAAAAGCACCCTTAATTTATTTAGTTACAAAAGTATAAAGTAAAATACAAATGTAATATATTTTTGTTAGTGAAATGCATGCTATATATATGTATATATGTATGTATGTTTAATATAGGCAATACTATGCTAAGCAATCACAAAAACAAAAACAGAAAAACGAAATTTGTGCATTATTATGTATAATTTGTATGTGTACAGCAAAAGCAATTAGAAATTTCCAAAAGAAAAAAAAAACACTAACAAACAAAAAAAAAATGAAAATGAAACAACAACAATGTGAAGCTATTTATATATTGATTTTCTTTATTTTTATTTTCGGTACATATTTGTTTCGATTTTCGATGAACTTTTCGATGTTAATTAACGCATACATATAATACATATAAGAAATATTTACAACGTAACAATTCATAACCATGTATAAACATATGTATACAAAGCATACATACATATGTTCATATGTACACTAATGTGCGCACAGCAACGCACGCAACCAACAAGCACAAGCATCTGGGCACGCACACACTACTTGTGTTGTCGTCGCTGCAGTCAAACCATTCAAACAAATTCAACGTAAAGTTAAAAACAATTACGCTTATTTTATGTTATAAGAACCCCTTTTTTATTTTTTTAAAGCATAGCTTTCTTTTTCATATAAACAACACAAAAATACAAAAAAAAAATTAAAATAAAAATAAAAACAAAAATGCAATACAAAATTAATATGTAAAAAAGGAAATATATGAAAAAATTTATCAACCAAGACTACATGGCTTTAATTACGACCAAAAAAAAAAAACACAAAAGCAAGAAAAAACGAAAATCAGCAAGAAATTTAATTTACTTTGAAGTTTCACTTTGAGCGGCGCGTAAATCGCGCAAGAAAAGAAGCTTATGCATACACTTTGGGGGCTTGAAATAAGCGTGATTGTGTCTTGACAACTTCGTCTAAGAAGTAAGCAAAACTCCACACAATAAACCAATTGTATCAAGTAGCCAGAGCCAAAATCAAAGGCTTCGAAGTGTCTGTTATAAGTTTTCATGTAATTTCAGACCGAGCAAAATAAATTCTTTGTATACATATTTCATATAAGTTTGTCTTTTAATTTTTTGCAAATGTTAAACGAAATGTTTAGTTCTAATTCAAACTTTTGTTATTTTTGTTAACTATATATTAGTTTTATTTAGTTTTTTTCTTTATGTAAACTTATTGTACTTTTGTTTGAACGCACTTCCAAAAGGCATTTGTAAATTCATGTGTATGCGTGCACACATACATACATACATATGTATGTATGTATATCCCTTTGAATTGTTTTAGCATTGACTTAAATTTTAACTGTGATTATATTTTAAATGTTATTAGTTTTTTTTTATTTTTGTCTTGTTTTCTTATGCCAATGTACGTCTGTATGTATGTATATTTTTATGACTGCGCATTTTAATTAAAGAAAAAGAGAACATATATTTAATGCATAACGTCATTTGTACTAAATTTCACATAACCTCTAATTTAGTGCTCAAAATTCCTTAGTGTGTTCATAGTTATAAAAAAAAAATATTATTAAACGAACGTAAATTCTTACTTTAAGCAATTTTTGTGCGCTTGATGCAAATGAAATGAGAATGGAAATTTAATTCAAATACAAAAACTTCAACAATTTCGGAATATGATATGTTTTTAGTACAGTAAATTGTTGTGTAAAATACCAATTTGCTGGAAAATGTCTGTGTGTGAGTATAGGCTAAGCAGCCGAATTGAGAAAAAATTTAGAATCGGTCGCATCCGACTCATATATAGAACGACGGCTTATGGCACTTCTATTACTAATACACAAAAGCCTGTTTCCACTCTATCTTTGGGGCAAGAACATATCCACCAAAACAGCAACACAGACTTAAAATATCCGTTGCTTGTAGCATTGCCTGCATTGACGATCGGAAGTACGAAGGTGATAGAATTGATTTCGCAATGTCCACGATCCCTTTACTGAATATCAAGGTCTTGTGAGTGTGTCTGGTAGCAACGGAATTGAATTAAGCTGCAGCAGCTTGCCACAAATCTCATTAGATTCTACTAAACTGCAGATCCCTGGTTGCCTACAGCATGCTTGTATCCGACCCATAGTGACTCGTAATTATTTTCGTTGGCAGATTCCGTAGCGGAACATCAATCCTTTGGCATCTTAATTATATGAAACGAAGGTGGTCGGAGGATCATAATCGTGGAACTTGGTGGCAAAGTGTCGCTTTACTGTTTCGACGAATAAAGGAAGAACTACAATACAACCATGCAGTTACTGCTCGGTTCGGTGTTCTAGCAGAAACCATCCCGTCACCTGCTTGAAACGGATCCGCCTTTTAGAAGCAACAGGAGAACATTCCTCCAATATGTATATCGACGAACTAGAACAATATATAGACCACATTTCGGCCTCGACCAATTGCCAACGTATAATGAACGTCATTCACAGCGGAGCTATTTACACCTTCATTAACTCCCTCCCAGTGAATGGCGTACTTGGAGTCCAAACGACATACATAGCAGCACAAGAGCTCGAGTATCCGCGTGAAACCATAGTGAAACTTGCGCAACTTCGTTTTGGATATGATAGCAGGTTAAGCTCCTACTTAACCAGAATAGACCCTGACATACAAAATTTATGCCCTGCGTGCAATGAGTCCACGCATGATACTCTTCCCTCTTTGCATGCTCAATAAAATCAAGTAACTTAAGCCCCCCTTCCCTTTGGTTCGAACCTGTCGAACACAACTCTTTTCCTGGGCCAACCGTTAAGTGATTTCGATGACAGTTAACTTATTGCTTTTCCCCCCAAGCTGGGTCTAGCTAACAGCTACAACAACAATAACAGCACACAAATCAGCAGCTCACGCGTAAAGCATTTAAGTAAAGGCTCCTCAATCGTCCTCCTGGGAGACATCAAATTAAAAACATAATTATTATATGTGTATGTAATATATATTTATTCATTCATGACAATGTGGTATAAAAATATTTTGCAAATAATACATTGAATTTGTTCTTTATTTAGTTAATCTTTTTAAAGCATGCAATTTTATTTCCAAAGCCGCTACATTTTAATATTTTGAGTCACTTGTGTCAACTACGCTCAGTAAGAGCAGTATTCAAAACTATTTTTCATTACTATTGAAGAAAAAAACCTTAGCGTCTCGTTACTATAGAACTATACTGTGCTATAGAACATTTATTTATCAATAGTTGATTCGATAAGTTTAATATTTTTGCTGTTTACAGCTATTTCAAATATAATTTTGATTTAAAAAGTGTTATTTAAAAGTGTAGACATTCTTGCAATGGTAGAATTTTGTGAATATCAAAAAAAAAGTGAGCAACAATTTTGTAACCCACCATTTCAGCTTTATTAAAATATTTTTGATTTTATCTCTCAATTTTCAATTCAAATATCAAATATTTCACAATATGTTTGTTTTACAAGTATATGCGTTACATTAGTAACGTTTTTGTGTATCATTACGATTTCTTTTCTTACAATATAATTATTGTATCCACCAGAACATAACCTAACAAACGCATTGCGATTTGCGTTAACATAATTTAGCAAAGAGTGCTTTGAGATCAACAGACGAATTTTAAAAAAGCAAGATCAGCATCATTTGATTGCTGTTAGCGATAACTAGTTATTACACGAGCGACCAAAAAACGAGAAAGTTCTGTTGCTGGCAGCTAGAAGAGCTGGGATTGAGAATCAATAGTTTTCGACGAGCATTCCATTCCGCAAAACTATTTGCAGAATGTTTTATGCCGCGAAAATAAAAACAATATTGTTCTAAACCAGTAGCCTTACAACATAGCGAGATGACGCTGTAAAGACGGTTAGTAAGAGGTGGTATGCTGATGTCTTTCTAGCTCTACTAGCGATGTATGATTTCGCACTTGAATGTTGTGACATAAATTCGACTGTCCCTCTACACCACAGAGCGACGATTTGGTAACGGGTTTTGCAACGTTTAACGTAACATTAAGTAAAATGCCGGAAATATTCCGATATACTTTGTTAACAGGGAATGCTGATAGAGATACGATAACACCGCAAAGCATCACACGCTCATCGGTTTCAAATTAGCTGAGTGTACATGGTCACAGAGTGTTAAACCCTAAAGCAACCGCAGAGTGTTAGGTCAGTGATGCTCTCTTTTGCGTTGGGGTCCTAAAACCGAAAGATTTTTAGCAATCGTGTACTGCATTTTAGATTGTGTAGACAAGATCGCCATACATAATACAAATTACTGTTATAGTTGCGAAGGCTAGTAGAACCGCAACTATACACTGGTTCCCATACATAATAGGGATATTACATTGCATTGGATTGATCTCTTTAGCGAGCGAAAATGTATTTTCTGGCCAACACACTGTTGTTTCAACCGATACTTCATAAGTGAAATAATATATAAATTTTCAGTAGTTGAAATGTCATTGAAGATTGCAGATTGCAGTAAATACTTTAGTGATTTGTAAACTTTTTCAAGTACAACCCAAAAATAGTTTTCAAAAAGTCCAACAGCCTTTAGTATGCATGCAATATTCTAAAAAAATATTACAATCATTAAATGATATAAAAAAAAAATCGATGAAAATAAAAAAAACACATATTACAGTGCTCTTCTTTCAGGAGAGGGATAACGGTACTACCACTATGCACTCAGTCATAAACAGTGCGACATAAAGACGTTGGATTGACTGCTTACAAATATTAGTAAAACGTGGATCATAGACCGTTTTTATTTAGATAACTGTCAACCATAGACCTGCGCAATTTCGTTCAATACATATTTTACCATATAAAATTTTTTCATGCCTTAAAAATGTTACCTCTCAAAATATATGTAGTTCATGATAAAATTTTCTTCGAAACAATAACTTTCGAAGGATACACATAAAAGGCTCCACTTTCACGGATCTAACCATTTGAGTTATATATGGATTAGGACGTCAAAGTCATATTGGAGCGGTTACGTTCGTTGTATTCATCATGGATAATAGATTATTATAAAAAGTGGGTGCAATATATATGTATATATAATATTAAAGGAAATATCCTCTATAAAATTAACAGAGAAGGATTTATATCAATTATATGGTGTTGCAACTGATATCGAAACATTTTCATATGTTTCTGTCAAATAGGTGTATTAACTTCCATTCAAAACTACATATTGTTCATATCGAAGCAAGTACTCATTATAGTGGGAGGCTAAGCAATTTTATAATTAGAGCCTTTGCTTCGATTATATACCGTCTTAGCGATAACAACGTTCTTATAGGATTTAAGTAAGCAAATTATTTTTTCGAATTTTGTCCAAAAGACTCTTACATTCAACCACTACTACTTGCTCGTCGATATTCTTCACACGATCAATGGTAATAAGAGTTTGCAGTTTTATTTCTTCATTCAAAAATCTTATGAGCTCAGCACTCAAATTTGTTGGCAAGCCTGTATAACGTAAAACAAATTTATTTCAATAATTATAATCAATAAAGTTGGTTTAAGCACGTACCATCAATTAAGCATAGACTTGTTTTGCACGCCCCTGTTGCGCTTGCCGGAAAGTGGCGTATATCGGTACTTTTCAAAGTTGCTTCATTCGTAAAATCGATGTACATCACGGTGTACTCGGATTCGTTAGGTATATCAATTACCTGAGCACGATACCACATTTCTTCAAATTTTGCAATGCAATACTCCTCCAATCTGAAAAATAAAATATTGTTATTTTTTTTTATTGACCCGAGTATGATCACGAGGCATCACATAATTTTATTAATATCTCATAAATGGTAGAAAGTTCATCATAGAGATGACTAGTTATATCCCACAAAGAGGTTTGGGGAAGTTCGGATTACTATACGAGTGCTTGTGTAAGCTAGGTTTCACCTTGATATATTTTTTTATTGCTACTGTATTGTAAAGACAAATCAATAGCTCAAAAGCTTTTCAAACCGAGAATTATGTACAGTTAACTTCGGCTTTAAAGAAAGAGGTTAGCTATTTTAACACTATTTTTCAAATAACCGTTAGTCATTTAAAACTATAATACACTGGGTGCAACGTGTTCCAAAAGTGTTAATATAAAAAGTTCAACAAAATGTCATATATACTTACTGCGGCTTATAGGGTTTATCAGATACAGTTATGGACTCCAACTGCTTATGCACAATCTGTAGGCATTCCAAATCATCCTGTGCAATACAGCCCAAATAACCGATTTCTAAACAGGAAACATCAAGCACAACAGCCTTGAAAGGGTCACAACCCATTTTGAAGTAGTGTATTTCGAACGGCTGTAGAGAATTTATGGTATATATTCACTTTCAAATCTGAAAATAAAAAAATATACCATCTTACCGCTTTCATCGTGGGATGTTCTACTTCAATGACACTTTCTCTTTTCTTCGCTTCCTTTATGCCATTACTATCTATTGGTATAGCCTGCTTCTGCTGCACACTTACATGTGAATTCGCTGTGGACGAGCTTGGTTGAAGCGCATAAAATTGTTCATCGTGTGGCTCGTCCACATTTTGGCTGTCGCCTGCTGAATTTGGTTGTTTAATAGTATTGGCATTGGTATTATTATTAACAGTATTTTGTTTAACGCGTACACCATCAGTCCAAACTTCAGCACCTGATTCCTTGCAAAATTGCTCAACTTCATCATTTAGTGATTTTTCAGTTTGCCAATGCAACAGGTCCACACCGTTTTCGACGCGTTCATATTTTATTTTGAAGTCTAAATCCTCGTAACTGGCAAAATGTTTTACCAATTTCTCACTCAACACATAATTGCATACATTGCGCAATTGTATCATACATGTATATTGTTTAAGCGATATAATTTCATCGGAAATTTCACGCAAATCCCTTAGATTTCGTGTCGCAATTACACCGCGATCAATGAAGAGCACACGAATGTTGGCGGGGTTACGTGCAAATAATACTTCTACACGATGCATAATACCGTTATATGGTGCTATGGCATAACTGTGCAGCTTGGGCATTGCGCTTAGTGGTTTTGCCACTTTTCCAAAACCATCAATTTTGCGTGCATTCAACATGGTATCATCTTCAACGGATGGATTGACAGCGCGCACATAACAACGGTTTGGTGTACGAAAGCCGGTCAAAGTCACATGACTGTTGGTCTTGGGTAGGTCTACTGTTGGTACAGTAGTCGTTGTCACTTTGGTCGTTTGTTTTGCATCTTTATTATTAGCCTTCTGTATGGCCTTAATATTTGTTTGTTGTTGTTGTCCATTAGTATCAGAGAGCTGTGGATGTCCCGTCAAACTGTGATTTTGTTGTGAATTATTTCGTAAATTCTGTGGTTGCTGTTGAGTACGTTGAATACTTTTGAACGGGTTGGTATGAGAAATTTGGTTAACAGTTAGTAGTGGCGCATTAGCAGGATACACAGCGTCCGTTGTCAAAACTGATGTTGGCTGTACCAATTTTCTATAAATGTAAAATTAACTTTATTATTTAACAAGATATCTTCAGAGAATTGTAAGGCAATGGTATTATCTCTGAAGAAATTGTTCAGATCAGTCTACTGTAGCATATATGTATGTATGTACAGAGTTGCCATGCAAACTGACCGCAGAAAATCAAGCTTTGGATGGAAACTTTTGTATTTGTGAAGGGTAATATAACTTCGATGCAACCAAAGTTAACGTTTCTTCTTGTTAATAATGGTAATATAATTTGTTTACATTATTTTCAAGTGCATTGATGCTCAAATTCCGTCGTCAAGTAAACCACTTAAAACTCTTGATTTTGCAGGAAATAATTTAATGGAAATTAATGCAGAACAGCCATCTCGTTATACGATAACACATTAGAGTATTATGTGTCAGCTGTTTCGAAGTAAGCACTTGACTGTCAAGTAAGCACACGCCCTGATTGGAAAAATTGATATCAAGACGGCGTTCAAGTTTAAAAGATGAATGTGGTAGTAGAAAGTATTGCAACTTGAAAGCAATTTCTTGATCGTGTAACGACCGGGTTAGAGATGGAGTTTGGTACCCGTATATAATTTATAAACTATTTATAAAGTGGTTGCTTCGAATTGATTTCAAATTATATACATACATCACTTGCATCAATCATACATCTCTTGAACACAAAATAGAATGTAAAATTAAACCACCAAAGTAAATTACTTTTTAAACCGGATTCACATACAAGGGAGTTCACAAAAAAAAATATATATATATATTAACCTAACAAAAACTTACGGCATTGGGAAGCATATATATCTATGGCTTTGCCAATCTTTCTTTTGGCAACCCGGTGAGCAGTAAAAATCTCCACATCGTTCACATACACATATTGATGGCTTGCGGCAAGCAGTACACTCGCCGGTTTGAAAAGTAGGATCGATGGAGTGGTTGACAGCATTTTGCTTTGGAGAGTTCTGTGAATATTTATGTATATGATGTATGTATATCTGATAATTTTACAATATATAATTAAGTAGAAAGCTTTTATAGTTACAGTCACGTTTTGTTTTATTCCATTGTGTTGGATATAATTTTCACCGGCAGCTTGTGGTGACAAATATGGAACGGCGTTGTTAATTTGCGCTCTTTTATTTCTTTTTGCCCTGTAAATACAGTTCAGTAAAATTTTTTATACTTTATTTATTAGATTCAAAAATATTACTTATAATCCATGCTAAACCAATTAAAACAACTAAAATACGCAATGCTTTACTAAAGCCACACAAATTTTATAAGCAGCAGGTAAGTAGCTGTCCCGACATAATCGAATTGTAATAGATTCCGATATGGTATTAATAAAGCACTGTTGCATCTGAATCATTTTGTGAATTAATTTGAGATATTATTTAGGGTGTGTGCCACCTGCAGAAAAATATAATTTTTTAATTTATAATATATTTGTACCAAACAAAAAAGTTCTGAAACTTACTACTGCATATTTTTAGACTTGGTTTGACTCCGTTTTATAAAAAAAAGCTTATAGACATATATATATTAGAGAATGTAAATTATAATTAATATAATTTTCTATATATCTTTTTATGACGTTTTGGTCTACTTGTTAGCACTACAGCCCGGATCGAATAACTTTCAGTTTGAAGACGAATTGTACGTAGTCGAGAAAGATTTGCTATTTACATAATGTTAAGTAAAATTTATAAATTAGTTAAAGGCATAAAATTGAAGAATGCTTAAAAATAAAAATATGCTCCAACGAAGAAAGTATTATTGGCTTCTAAGTCCACTATTATTGACTCTTAAATTTTAGACTTCTGCATGACAGTCTCTCGAAGGAAACCCCAAATGTTGAAGGCGTGAATGTTTTATAAACCAAGAGTCTGTTTATTTTCTCAGACCCTATAAAATACATATTTGTATGGTAGTTTTACGAGCTGAGTCGATATTGCCATGTCCCTCGAAAACTTTTATTTGACAAAATATCTTCACAAAATTTTTACGATTATTGTCCAAGGCAACGATAAATTCTCTGAGAATATTGTTTAGATCAGACCATTATAGCATATAGCTGCCATACAAACTGATTTTTTGTTTTGTAAAGGGTATTATAGCTTCGGTATATAACTTATATAGCAACCGAAGTTAACGACCGTTTTTCTCGCCGTTCCCACGACAGTCGGGTCTACGTAACCGGAACGGACCCGGATTTATTCCGGCCAAGGACTGTCAACTCGGCAGAATTCTGCCGCTACAGCACCAACAACAACCGTTTTTCTCGTTCAGTGTTAAAATAAATAATTTTGCAGATGTTTAAAATTATATTTCATTGCCTTATAGCTTTATTGTCATAATCAAAAGCAACAGGCTACGACAAATAAACGTGTATTACTAACTAATGTGCAAATACATATTTTTTTACTATATAAATAAATAAATTTTAATAATTTTTATTTAACCACTCAAATAACATACATGATATATTATACAACACTAGCCATAATATTTTCGGTTTATGATAGATCTTAATTTATAAGATATCTTAAAAAACAAACAATGGAACATTTGCAAAACTCTTGCAATTTCTAATTGACATAAGTGTAAATTATATATGTAATTATGTATGTACTGTAATGTATATACTTATATTAATAGATGTTGTGTACGTGTGAGAATATATGTGTATGTATGTATTAAAAAAAACTAAAATTTATTAGAACTTTCGATTTCTTTCACTTTGGCCACAGTAGTAGAAGTTGTATTCTCCTCAGTGCTCGATTCCGATTCAGAAGGCACTTCCTCAACGCGATCCACCAGTTTGTGGGTACTGGTCTCGGGGAGAGTGAGCGTCAGCAGACCCGCTACTAACACACAGCAACCGCAAATTGTCGTTGGAATGTACCAGCCGAGTAAGCCCTGCAAGAATACATATACATATGTATATAACATTTTAAAAGTAAAACAACTTCTTTCACCCACCAGCACATCCACCACGTAAGGCGCTGAGATGGAGCCTACATGGGCCCACGTTGAGCATGTGCCCAAAGCAGAATTTCTTATCTCGGTGGGAAATAATTCAGCAGTATATAGGGTAACAATGGAATATGTAGCAGTAATACCGAAACGACCCAACATAGCAAATAATATTATCCATGCAGTATTTCCTGTGATTTTGCAAAAACAAAAACAGAAAAGTTATTAACTATTACTGTGAAAAATTTAATTTTGACAATGTTTCTTCCTACCGCTGGGCACAGCCAACACCATGAGTAAGGCCACTCCGGTTAGTATAAACAGTGACATTGTAGTTGTGCGTCGACCCGTGAAATGCAGCATTATCATCGGCAACAGATATGAGGGCAGGTCCACCATACCGGTAATGCCAACATAAATGAATCGACTAACCGACATATTGGCGGCATTCAGCGCTGCAAGATAATATTTATAGTAAGACACTGTTTATATATAATAATACAATTTTCTTTACATACCTGTGACATAGTAACTGAGAGAGGTTACACAAAACATAAAATATGCAGTAAATATGAGACGACGCACCTTCCATGTGCCGAATAGTTCGTGGAATTGTTTGAGTGGACCTTCTCTTAATTTCACCCAAAGTGTTGTCGCTACCTCGGGCTGCGCCTCCTAGAAGGCGAAACAAAAGTTTTGTTCAAGTATATTTATATATATGTATATATATACATAATTTTATATGTATTCACAACATATGTACATTTTTTTCTTAAGTTTCTAGCAAAAAGGAAAGATAAACTGCTAGGTTTTAACTTTGCCATAATCAAAATAAGGACTCTTGAGTTTATTTTGGACTAATTTTGTTCGCTTGGGCGGAAGCTGATAAAAAAAACTATTATAAATATTAAAAGTTAAATTTGAAATTTTGTCAAAATCAAAAATTCAAAAATGTCTTTAAAAAAACGTGGTTTCGTAAATCAGTATGCGTTTTTAATCGACTTTACTAACCATTTGTCAGTTTTTTATCAATCGGAACGTAGAAAACAGGTATATTTAGTATTCGGGGTGTCTAGGAAAATGCATCAATCGATGCCAATCGTTTTTGGTACCAATTCACTTCATATTAAGCCACAGACTCCCTGCTAATTAATGGACGGAAATTAGCATATGCGAAATAAGGAACTAGAGAAAGGTTAGGTAGAATAAGGTTGCCATATATCAGTAACACTGTATGGGCTATGCTGACTTTCAGTATCGCTGTTTATGATTGTGTTATCCGTGATAAAATCAAATAATTTCATGGTTTTAAAAATTCCGTTATATGGATGGTTATATGACTTTAAGTGCCTTCAGCAAATTTTTTTTCCGGTTTCGGAACTAACAGAAGTGGATAAACGACTCGCAAAGGGCCAGTTATCGATGACTTCACGACATATAATTGTGTTCGTGAAAAAGTAGACTCCCCAAAACCCTTCTGTAGCATTTTCAAGGATTCCGTAGTCATCAGTTAGTAACTTTATAAAAACAATAAAAAAAGGTCAAACTAATCTGGGAATATTTTTTTATGGATTCAGTTCGTACGGTCGTAGTTCTTTAAATAGACCAGTCTGAGTCAAATTTGTTCAGATGATATGTATGATATGCAAATTATAAAAATAAGTGAAATCAGCTTACTTAAAAATTAATATGTTAAGTATATTATTAATTTACAATACTATGTGGGTGAATGGACTTCCTTTATACTTTAATAGTACACTTTTACATGAACATATATGGTACATATGTATGTATATGTTGTATATAAATATACATATTGTTTGAAATGTGGCATTTACCACATACAAATATTCTTATGCACAAATGAATTGAACTTAAGAATAAAAGAATAACAACAACAAAAGCACAACAAATATATATAAACTTACGGCTTTCTTGTCGGTGATGGCTTCAATGGGGGCTTTCTGAATTTCATAATGGCAATCCTCTTTGAATAAGATTCTGTAGACCTGATCGTAGCGTTTCTTCGTTATAAGCCAACGTGGCGATTCATTCATCAAGCTGACGACAAAAAATTGAATATGAGATTTTATAATTTACAGCAGCGGCAGCAACATAACCGAACAACAACAAAAAACGCAGATAATGGTGATAACGGCGATGAAATTAAGAGAGAAAAACATAAACCGAAATTAATAAAAATCGAGATTAAAAATTGCAAGTCAAAAATCTTATTAATTTTAATTACATTTAATAAAAAATTTAGCAAAAATTATCACAACATTAAAGAAATTTAAAACCAAGACCAACTCACTAGCAATTAAAGATGAGCAAAAATGCCGGCATTGTGAGCGCCAACTGAACATAGCGCCATTGTGGCACCAGATATGCGATCATTGCCAGCATGATCAAGCCAATCGGATAGGAGCCCGAAAACGCGATCGACATCCAGGAGCGATGCCGCAGGCAAACGTTCTCCACAACTGTAATGTGCGATAAAATGTCGTTAGAAATATAAAGCAATCAAAATACACACAAAATATATTTACTCATGGCAAAAGCGGGATAGAAGAGCCCTGAAGAGGCCGCACCCAAACCAAAGCGGCCCACTAAGAAAAGCTGATACCAGGGTGAAAATGTGCATAATAAGCTCGACAAGATGTAAAAGACGGCGCCTAAAGTGAACGAAGTTTTGCGACCAAATCTGCGAAATAATTTAAATACCTCCATTCAACCAAGCCACTACAGTAGACAGTGTGTACTTACTTATCCGAGAATATGCCAAAAGAGAAGGAGCCGAAAAATTTTCCCAACGATATGGCAACCTGCGCCGTAGTACGTTGTATGGCATTCTCACATACTAAATCCCAATCCGCCACAAATGTGGTCTCGGCATCTGGGTACGCGTATTCACCTTCCATTTTACATGGTATCTCTGCCAGCTTACCGTTCGTCGTTTGTGTCTGTGTCGTATAGTTCAGTGCCTCTTCGTATGTCATAGTCGCCAGTTTCGGGTAGTCGTACTGCCATATGGTGCAACCACCTGTATTGAGATTCTCTTGTGTTATGCTTCGCTGTTGCTCAACAGTCCAATTGGTCGACTGCAGATTTGAGACGGCGCACCATTGATCTTCAGGTAAGTGTCCCAGTAGGGTGTAGGAAGAAACGTGGAAGCCATTGAGAATGTTCGGTGTAACGCAGACGAAAAAGAGAGTCCTAAAAGAAAATTAATCGCTATTATTAATCAAACATCATTTAAACAACTAAAGGTTTATTAGGTATATGTGAAAAAAGTCAATCAGAGAAAATCATATCAGCGAATATGGTTTAGACCGATTGCATTCAAGCTCAGCTTTAAACCTAATTTTGTTTAAGAAAACATGTCTACCTAATTGCATTAAAATATCATACATATTAAACAACCGAATAAATGGGGCTAAGAGGAATTCTGGACTGAGAGCATTAACTTTTAGCATTACTCAAATATCCTCGAGAATATTTTTCCACGCAATTTTATGAAGTTATCTTTACCGACCTGACCGACATTTTCGTCATAAAGTCTGCTCGATGATCGAAAGTCTTAATATGCAGTATAAGGGGAACTGTGGTAATTCGTGTACCGATTCCACAAATTTCATTTATTTAATTTTAAACCCATTTTTGACACAGGAGCACATTATTGTCATAAGAAGATTTGATCCGAATTTCGCTAAGACCTATATCTCACAGATTAACCAATATTTCCGGTAAAAAGTCAGCCATTTACAATGGTGTCCAAATATTCAGTATTCGGGAGGCTTAAAACTTTGTAGCCCGATTTCGACCATTTTTGGATTAGAGATTTGAAATTGTGAGTTGTTAGAAGTAGGCGTGGTTGTAACCCGAATTCGCCCATTTTCACTATGCATTATAATATAATGTACCGAATTTGGTTGATATTGATCAAGTCGTTCTTGCGATACAGGATTTCACTTAAAGGTGGGAGGTGCCTCACCCATTTTTCAATTTCTCTGCAAAAAGTTCAAGGATATATAGCGATTTGATCAATTTTGTATCAGTTCTGGAAAGTTGAAGAATTTATTTGGTCCATAAAATTTTTAAATCTCAAAATGCATTTAAAGTCAAAGCACGTATCAGTTCTCAAATATTTACATGAAATAATTGCACTATTTAAATACTCAATTGTATACATTTTTTAATTATTTACGTGCTAATTTTGATTTTTTTACATTTGTCTGTGACTTTAATTAGCTAAACGATCGCTTACTTCCTCATTTAACTTGTTGCATATTTTTTTACAAACATTTTTATGCACATCTAACGACAATGAGTGTTCGCGTGCAAATCTGTTCTAATCTGATATGTATATATGGTGTTTATTTTAGAGCTATAAAATTACCCATAATATTTTCTAGAGGGTGGTTAGCTGTCAAAGTATTGACAGGTGTTTGACATTTATGTTCACTATATTTTAAAAAATTGCCATGGAAAGTGGTGTTGCCTTAACAGCTACGGAATGGAGTAAAAAAGTCGAATTATATTATGTTCCTCCAGACTCCTTGTATCCAGAAAAAGTTACTATCGGTTTGAAAGCCACAAGATTATTGGTACATATATCAATCCTTTAAAATCTAGGACATAGATCGTGAAACCATTAGTTTATTAAAGGGAACTTTCTATTACCGAAACATATCAAAAAAAAGGCGTCAGTCAATTAGCTCTTTCTAGGTCTCGCATTTTGTGTTTGTGAGACTAACTTTTGCTCTGCTTTGACTATTCCATAAGTCCTTGCTGATAAAACAGCTACGATTGATCAGCAGACTATTGGCGAGATATCGCCGACTTGGAACAGGTGTAGTCGGGAAATTACCGACAGGATGATGTTTGTTAGACGCAGCGACGATAGTCTAATATGCCAAGTTTTCTTCAAATACTAAATGCCTTAAAATTTTCGAACTAAAAATGCGCGCACATTTAATAAAAATGTTACTATATTTATTTTTGCGTTTGTGAAATAAAAGTTTCATACCTCTAACATCACCCTCTATTACATTTACGGTTGAGGCTTTACAATGAACAAATTGATTGCAAAGTTTCGTGTACAAAATATATGTGGAAATGTTGAAATTTTTTAGCAATATTTTTGTTTTTGTCGCTACTCTTACTTTCGTTTTGATAAACAGTGTCAAATAGATATCGTAAATATTCATATAAAACTTTCAGAAATCACGCATACTAGGAGAAAATTTTTTCAAAATTTTCTTTTGTTACAACAGCAACAATAGTTTGCGTTCAATGACCGCAAGTTTCTCATAAACGGAGTACACGCTTAGATTTACTAGCTCTGGTGTAAGAAGTGATCTTTGAAGTATATTAGATAGTGGAACAGATATAACTGTAAAATCGTTACTAATTGTCTCTTTGACTAATAATGTTTCTATTACGTCAAATAGGTTACGGATAATTTGCCAGTTATCAATAACTCACATGTAATTAATTTTTATAACCTAAACAGGGTATATTAAGAACGGTTTAGATTTTGAGATATCGACCTGAAATTTTACAAACGTCCTTTTCATCCTAAGAAGCTGCCCATTTGTTGGAACCGCCGATATCAGATCACTGTAGCTATAGGAATCAAGTGCTTGCATGGAAAACTCTTTCATTTGACGAGAAATTCGGTCTGGACTATTTTCTATGAGAATGGTGCAATCTCCGAAGAAATTGTTCAGATCGAATCATTATAACGTATTGCTGCCATACAAACTGACTGATCAAAATTAAGTTCTTGTAAGAAATCTTCTGTAATTGTGAAGTTTCTTGTTTTATACTACTTTTAGCAAGAGAGGTATACAAATTACTTTCCCAATACGGCTATCCTGAGATTTTACCACTGATCGTAGTTGGGTTTGTAGTTTCAAATTGCTTGAAAACATTTGGATGAATAATTCTACGGAAAGAATCACTGGCCGCTCATAGTTCCAGGTCCGTTTCGGTTGAATAAACCTAAAAGTCATGGGGCCGACAGTATCAAGCTTTTATTGTTCGAATATGACTGAAGAGAAAGCTCTCCACTTCATACTAAAAATAAGCTAAATTAAAAATTTATGATATGAGAACTATATGTATATCCTTTTGAAGCCCCAAATGTTACGTTACTCATACCCCGAAGTAAATTTTTGATTAAAACAAATATGAATACGAGTTAACTTAGAAATACATATGTACACCAAAATGTGTGTTAGTGGCGCACTTCCATTATACCTTTATTTAATTTAAAGTAATACAACTGCTGCCCTACAACTCACAAAATAAAACGTAAATGTGAATATAAATAAAACAAACCAACCTTGAGGAAATGAAAGCAAATCAACGCTGATTAAATTAGTATTCTTATTTTCGAGTTTGTATATGTACGCAGACAAAGGCAGTCGATTTGAAAACTAAAAAATAGTTGTAAGCAGAGGTTATCCGGATTCGCCTAACTTTGAGATTAATTAAGCTAGTAAATCTATAGACTCGTCCTCAGCTACTACAGCAACAACAGCAACAGCGATTGAAGGTATATTTCGTAAGAAAAGATCATGTACGTACGCACTTCGTCAATCGCGGTTGGATATTTCCCAGTTAGTCAATTGCTAAAACTACTCAAAAGTAAAATTTTTAATTTATTTACAACGTTCTTAAAACGCAGCCTGATATTTAATTAACGCCATACATGTATTAAATGCGTAAACAAATTATTCAATATTCGTAGCTGGTCGCGGTCATCTGCGCGATCGGCATGCAAATTGTAACGTAAAAATAATACGCATACATAAAAAATCATAGATCGGATATAAAAATCGTAGCCTCGTCACGGCTCACGTGACTCATGCAATGTATATGGTGTGTGTGTGTGTTTGTGCATTATGAGTTTTTGGCGGTAATTTTGTATTTAGTAATTTATGTGAACAAATCTACATATTATGAAGCTAGCGCCGCTAGTTCCATTGAGCTCGAAGACTTAATCGACTACAAGCAACTGCAACGGTGTCGGAAGGCTTTTTAGACTTATAAAAAATTCATAAATGCAAATATTTGTACATTCGTTTTGTGAATAAATAATTATTTCCGAATTTTCGATGTGGCAGGTTTTTGTGTTGCGGCTTATTTCAAAAATTATATGTTTAATAATTACAAATAGCAATACACAAACATATGCATATATGTATATTAATATAAATTTTATTAATATAAATAAAATTTAATGTATCTCTGACATAAACACACTTATCGATTAATCTTTACAATTGACTTTAATAATAAACGCTATCAGATTAAAGCTTTTTACATAACCACCAATATTAATATGTATTTATAATATTATTAGACCGGTATTCGTATGAATGATATTTATATATAGATGATCATCTATTTGACTGGTGTTGATCATTATTATCTTATGAATTAAAAAAAACCCTTATTTAATTAATTTCATTAAATTCTTATTAAAATTTAGGTGACCACTATTTCTTTTAAAAAAAGAAAGAAAATACTTTAACTTCAGTTGCATCGAAGCTATAACACCCTTCACAGCAAATTTTGTGAAGATATCTTGTCAAAAAATAAATTTTTCCATACAAGAATTTGATTTTGATCATTTTCTTTGTATTTTGAAGCTATATGCTTTTGTGGTCCGATATCGTCAAATCCGCAAATTAGTAGCTTTGGCCAGAAAAGGATGTTTGGAAAAGTTTAAATAGATATCTCAAAAACTGAGGGACTAAGTAAGTGTGTTAATTCACATATATGCAGACGGACAAATGCACATTGTTAATCGACTAAATCTAATCTAATCAACTTGTCATTTAGCATTTTATTGTTGGTTTGTGGTAACTGAAGCGTGATTCCTAAACTGATTTTTTTTCTATTGAAAATATTCTATGTATCCATGCACCAAAAAATTCTCAAAAAGCTTACATTTGAAACCAATTTTTTTTTAATACATTTTTTAAATTAAATTATATAAACAGGTGGCAACATGTTTTACAAAAATATCATAAATAATTGGTTTGATACACAAGTTATAATATTTCATTACTCATTGATTAATCATTTTCGAACAGATGGCAACCTTACTTTAAAAAAATATAATAACAAAAAGCGTGCTTTTCAGCTTGAAATGTTTAATTAATAAGCCTTCTTAAACCTCTTTAAATTGATATCCATATAGTAATAATTTGTGAATCATATCAAATTTTTGAGTTAAAACACTTAAATAGGTGTCAACCCTGCCAGAATTAATAATATTTTTAACTGGAATAGTTTCTGTGCTTTTAATGTGTAATGCTTTTACAATTTTAAAATTTGAAACAAGTAACACCCTATTTTTTCACATCGAATAATACAAAAAAAAAACCGTTTCAGGCTTTAGTAAGATAGCGTTCTATAACCAACAATTGTAACGGAATTTAGTTGTGCTACACTCTCTCGTTGCCTTTCGTAGGCACGTTCTCTCAAACAAAACAAATAATGCCATCAACAGAAATATTTCTTTAAAGCAATTGTGAAGTTTTTAGCATTAATTGTGTTTATTATTTTCAATGTACGAGTAATGTAACATTAGCCTTCGTGAATATGTAGATATTTTCGCTAACTTTTTATTATTTGTCACGGCCTGCTGAATTTTGTGTTTCTTACGTGTAGTTGAAAAATTATCAGGAATTATTTGTTATTACCAAAAATACAAAAACAAATGTGCTCGCAATGTTAAGTATAGGCTCTCATATCCATAACCGGATAAATGCGCATGCTAATAAATAACGACACATTTCTTTTAAGTACATACATACATATGTGTATCTGTATGTGTGTAATTGCAATTGTGTGTCAATATTTTTGCTTTGCCTTTGACATTGATCACCAAAACTGTTTTTCTGAAATGTAATATTTTCACTTCGTGTTTTGTGGTTGCTCGTGAATTTTTTTGCGGTTTGAAGGTTATGACGGTTATTATGTGGTAAGCTACTACCTGAATTGCATTAATCAGGCTTATTTGTAAACAAATGAGTATTGTCGTTAAATTAAAAATCGTTTCTTCAGAGTATTTTTTAGACAGAAATTATTTGACGCTTCATCGGCTTTGAGTACAATGTATGTATATATTCGGTATATATGTACATACATACATATGTATATTTTCCTACTCCCCAAGATAATTACTTCCATGCCTCCTGTTAACTTGAGTCTGTATATATCGGGCAACTATTCGATATTTCCTGACAAAATTTTATGAACTGATTGCAAGCAACTTAATGTGAGCTGGTACAAAAAATCGACGTAGTAGGGCCATATTCTCCTATAGTGATTTAAAAAAAATAATTTTTTAACCCGACTGATTGCCTTTAGTGTGCATATCCCAAACCATAAGTGAGACTAGTAAAATATACAAAGTATGTGCATATGTTCCACTTAAAATTCAAAAGAAGATTATCTAAAAATGGTCACAATAGGTCCACAATATTGTCTAATAACGAATACTGATTCCCTGCATATTTATGGAATGTTTGCAGACATTTCTATACATTCGCACTTTGAGAACTTAAATATGGCTTTCGCCCGAACTTAGCCCTTTCTTTAAATATATTTATAACCTAATCTGGATATGTTTTTATTTGACAAACTGTATTCACGAAATTTGACATGGATTATTATTCAAGTCAACGGTATAATCTCCGTACATATTGTTCAGGGCTGCTATAGCACATAGCTGCCATGCAAGATCTTTTTTTCTTATTAAGTAATCTTAATTCGATTTGAAGGTGTTCATATAAAAACAAGAAATGGCAAAACTGTTTTCGTTGAATGCTACGGTGCAGACAAAGTTAACGGTTTTTCTTGTTTTTTTAATATATAAAGTTTTAAAATGAAGGGCATAGATTAATTAAAAACAAAAATATATTAGCGATTACTTATTTACTTTCTCTTTAGCACTTCTACCTCTTGAATTTTAATCTACATACTCATATTTACATCGATTTCACTTAAGTATTGACAAACATTGATAAAAACTTGTTTTCACTTTTATCTCAAAGAGTGATTTGATGAATAATAAAATAAATATAGGTCAATGCCCTTTTATTAGAATCCCATTAAATTACATAGCTTGTTTAAACCGTTATAAATATTATATG